CAATCAAATCTCCTGCAACCAAAAAGAGTTTTTTCTTTTTTTTTTTTTTAAATTGTCGATTTGTGCATTAATTCCTAATGCTTGAAAGAATAAAAGAAGCTAAAAGTTCCAGAGGAAATTAGAAGTTAATACATCTTCACCTTGACATGGTTCAGTAAATGAGCGGAAATGTTAGACCTAAAATTATCCAGCAAAATTCAAATAAATAAGCAAACTACAAAATAGTTTTAATTGAACGATGCTTACTAATTGAGGCGACTTATTATAAGTAAAATCACTTAATCATTTTCAGAGCATTATTACTTAATTTAAAAGTCATAACTTCACATTGGTTCATTTTCTAAGCTCGCACGATAGAAATCGTTTGTCGAATTTGCTGAAATTGTTACGAGGGAACAAAATTCTCGATTAGTGAATGATTTGATAGGAAAAAAAAATCTATTAATAGAATTTAGATAATCTAAAAGTAATGTGCACATGAAAATTGATCGAAGAAGCTACCTTTAACTAAATCTGTTAAATGATTAAACCTGTAAGTAACACAATTTCTACAAATGTATTAAATCTTAGTCAAACTGCTTTTCGAGTTATTTATTACAATTCGATTGAAAATTGACTTATTGTTTGTCAAAACTAAATCCTCCCTCCTCAAAAAGAAAAAAAAGATTGAAAAATCATTTTAATAAGGATGTAAAAAAGGGAAAAAGATATCAAAGAAAAGTGCTTTGAGCAATAAAATGAAAAATTCCAATTTCACTTTGGAAAAGAAACACAAATCAAAGAAATGAAATTTACGACTTTTCAAATTAACTGCTTGCAATCAAATTTTTTTTACTTTCTTGAGAATTTAAAGCATGCAAAGGAGGAATTGGAAGTCTAAGGAATGTCTAAATGGTCATTATTATCATTCGGAAGAAGAAAATAAATGCCAAATAGGGGAAAGGATTGGAATTGGCGCAAATGACAAGGAGGAAAGAGGCAAGAGAAGAAGATCGGGTAACATAATTTGTGCGGAATTCAAAACTAACGAGTTGAAACATCTTCGCAGTTCGGCGCATTAGTTGTAGCATCACATTTGGTTATTGGGATCAGCTGATTTGATTCATCCATTGTGAGATCTGAAATGATAACTTGTCATCTGTTTTTGTTTTTTTTAGAAATTCACATTCAAAAAGGTATCAAAACGTTGAAAATTTTTAAAAATACAATAGAAAATTGAAAAATGGAATTAAAAATTTCATTTTATGTTGGAAGAAATTCTTACAATTTGTTTACTATTAAAAACTTAAAAAAACATGCTCTTAATTTCTCTATCCTGAGACAATTTTAATTTTGACCAATAAAATTTAAAAGTAATTAAAGCGATTCATGATTGAACTGCAAATAAATAGTAGAATCCAACATTTTCAGCTTATTTATATTAACTAAATTGTGAAGTTCAACTTATTTATATTCTCTGAATAATGATAATGGTTTGCTATCAGTTTCCTGTCATTCAGAAGCCTGGTAAACATTTGTTTGGCAAGTAAGCATGTCATGAATAAATAACTATTTCACTTGAAGGGATGGGAAAGAGAGGACTACGTAGAATTCAAATTGTAGCCTAAGCTGAGAAAACAGGATCGGGTTACATTTTATTTTACGTAACTCAACTTTCAATGATAATCAAATTATCAGGAAAATTTTAATCTTCATGTTAGTATTATTTGTTTTCGATCTTAAATCTTTATCTATTTTGATAATACATTGAACTGTTGAACTGTCAGATGATAAATTCCGGATGATAGAATGAATGGGATGCCGAGAATTAAGTGTAATATGAATTATCATTGCGGGGAAACCGCGAAAGTAAACTTGAAAAATGATGAGGAAGGAATAGTAGAAAAAAGAATCGAAATTTCAGGATAGGGCTTATTTCAGGAAACAGAGAAGACATACATCATTTACATAAAAAATTTATTTGTAGTCTACAATTTAGCCTCGAACTTTAATATTTAAAGAGCAATCTTTAATTGTTTTGAAGTTCGAAAACATTCGTATTTAATAGTTGGACTTGAAAAAGAATATTTTTACAAATCAATCGTTGTATATCTACGGTTTAGGAAACGTCGAATGCAGGATAGATAGATGTGAGTCCATGCATCCAGCAAGGAATATTCCTTCCCTTTTTCGAGTTATATGCTCTTCTGTTTCTTTCTTTGTTAAATTTTTAGAAAATTAAATGAAGCACGCGTGACAGGTCCTCTAAAAAGCTTCATTAAAAAAAAATTAGCTGTAAAAAAGTATAAATAAAAGAATAAATGGAACGAATATATCATTTCACAAAATGAAATATATTAAATGAATTCCTTTTCATCAAACTATACTTCCCATTTCAGTTTCTTTTCATTTTTCAAATACATTTTGCTATCTAAGAAATTTTAAGGTCAATGGAAGCAATTTTGTTTGCCAATTTTGTTAAATCAAAAAGATACGAAAAATTATAATTTAATAATTTCCATAAAATATGAAATTCTGAAAGCTTGAAAAATTTTTTTGTCATATAATCTACATTGATGTGAATACAATTTTATGAGCACATATTTCGTTTGTTAACATACTTTCACCATTTTACACACATTCGCTTTAACTAGACAGGTTGTCTCAACAATTTATCAAACTTTTCTCCCTTACAAATAGTACCTCCATAAAACTACTCTTCATAATTTAACTCCGCATAAAAATTTTTAAAGAGGAATTTCAATCATGTGAGAAAAATGCAAACATTCGAATAATTTTTAGTGATAGTTTTTTTGTTTATAAAGAGGAAAGTAAGGTTAACTCACAAAAATAGGAACAAGCAGAAGGAAGTGCCTAGAGCCTGGTGCATTACTTTCTGGCCAGTTTATGAGCCAGTAGGGTGATAGCTTGGTTTTTTTCGAACTTTACTTGGTAATTTTTATTTGTCCCCTAATTTTCGCTCACTATAACTTTTATTTAATTTTAAATGATACTTTACTGTATTACTTTGAGTGGTTATATTACACTTTAGATATATATTAAATGAAATTTCGGAGAATATTTCGAAATTCCATATTTTCTTATGCCATCCTTTGAGAAGTACCACGTAAAATATCGCTTTTTTGATGATGAAAATATCACGTCGGATAAGTGACCATTTAAAATTCATTGACTGTATCATCGATGAAATCAGTGTGATCGAATTCTGATTAATGATAAAAATGAACATACCGGTATATCGTCTGCGATGAAGTATGCCGGATTTAAGCTGTAATTTATTTCGACACCATTTCAGGACAATGTAAACAGCAAAAATGAAAATCAATAAAAAGCTAAGTACAATGCATGAAGTTAGTGTTATTAATGTGTTCATTTTAGTGATTTTGAAATCTGCCAAGAGTTCCATCAAAATGATTTCAGTGATACTAGGGACGACTGGATCACATTTAAGTGTACCTGAAATACTTTTTTTTTCAGAGCTTTTATTTTTAATTAAAAAGCAGAAAGCGATTTAAATCTCGAATAAGAAGATGGAAAATGTGACGTGAAGAATGTCATGCTAAGAAATACGGGACAGTATAAGTAATATTAAATGTATGCAACAGTAATAGTGGAGACAGTTAGCGTCTTCTACAATTCCTGTATGTAAGCCTGACGTCAATATTATCAAATTTCGTAAAAAAAATTATTATCAATATTGATTTTGAGTAATTAGATGAAAGTCAACAGGAAGTTAGTGCAGATTTTTAGAAGTGACGAAGAAAATTTGTGAATTCTCGCTGTAGTATTTAAGAATTAAATAAACATCAGGAAATAATTGATTTCAAATTTTAAGCAAAATGTAATGCTAACATATTTTGCAACGATTAGTTACTGACTATAAGTTCTTTTTTTTTATTTTGCTTTTTTTAAGTAGTTATTTTCATTTAGGATGAAAACAACTTTTGAAATGCAAGTTTAAAAAATGTGTAACTTCTTTTCAAATCCTTCTTACACCTCACAAAAGGTAAAAAATAATCGCATTTCAGTATAATCAACTACAAAAGAGAATGCTGTTTGCCCTTTTAAACTGTTCGCAAATCAGAATAAGCGACGCGTTTCACGTGAATTTTAATGAAATAAAACCGGCAATAAAATTGTCACTTTCACTTGTCACAACTATTTTTTTATAAAATTTGATTTAGTCTTCTTTTTTTTTTTTAAAATATCAATGAGAAAGAAAATTTGATTTGATAACAGTATTCTAAACTTTCTCTGCGATACATAATATTCCATTTTCACTTTGTCATTAACGAACACATAAAGCATTTGGGGAAAAAAATTCTGCTTGTGGAAATGTTTTCCACTTCGTAACGCTCAAACATACAATTCTCCTCCTGCTTTGTTAATATTTCAGCATTTCACATATCAGTGGGAAGCGATTGATAAGTTTTAATTTGTCAACAACAAGCCTTTTTTACAATGCATTTGGTGAGATGTACACTTTTGCTAGCTGTTATCAATGACATAATTACTTTCAGTTCATGTCCCTCATTTCAGCACGGTAAGCAAATATGGAAGAAAGTGATAGAGAAGTGATAGGGATAATGACGTATACTATCACTTATGAATATCATATAATAATAGGACAAGTATGAATACTTTACCTGACTAGGTCAAATATTTCGTTAAACATGATTAGAGATATTTCCGGTTGATTCATATAAATTAAAACAGAAATAATTAACTCTTCATTAAACATAAAAAGTATAAAACGATTAACCTTTATTGAGTATTAAACCTCTGTAAGCACGGAATATACATCCAATTGGAAGTTAAAGGCGGAAAATAAAGACAATTTTTACTAATTTTAAAGTTTCAATTTTCAGTTAATGAAATGATTTGCCTTAAGAAAACTTTACACACTCATCAAAATTAATAGTTTGCAAGCGTTTACTTCAGGGGAAACAATACAAATAAAAATTTTCGCATGATGAAAAAGTCGGCATCATCAAGCTGCAATGGAAAGTAAAGGCATTGCAATAACTAGCGCATGTAAAGAAATATTACTTCTATCTGACATTTTCTTCTTTCGACAAGTTCGCCATCATTATCATTACCATCATCAACATCATCATATCATCATAATAATAATAATAATAATAATAATAATAATCATCATCATCATCATCATCATCATCATCATCCATCCATCCATCCATCCATCATCTATCATCATCATCCATCATCATCATCATTATCATCATCCATCATCATCATCATCATCATCCATCAACATCATCATCATCATCATATCATCATCATCAGCAGCAGCAGCAGTAATAGCATTACCCGAATATAGTCAAACGATGGGACTGTGAAAGAGAAGATTGAAAAGTAAAAGCATATAATTTTAACATTGTTGTTGGTGACATGTCACAATTATTCAATTTTGCTTTTAACTAATATGCGATTTATGCAAATTCAAGATGTAAAAATTTTGAGATTTCGCAAAGTTCTTTGCATATCCTTCAACTTTACTTTCAAATAATAAAACTGTGCAATTAACAAATGATAGATATATTACACGAAAAACCTTTCGATAAAGGAGCGATTCAATTATTCATCTTTAAAAATGTCCTTTAAATAGACGATGATTGAAAGCTATTTCAATGAATTTAAAAAAGTCTAAGGACATTATCCATTCAAGTGAGATAATTGAGTCATCATTTCTTGAGTAATATTTGGGAAAGGAAGGAAAAGGTCCTTCTCAGTTGACGACAAATACTTTCAGTGATATAATTCTATGCTATAATGGATGATAATGGTGTAAATTGAAGAGAATGAAACAAAAATTGTATCTGTCATCCTATCATTGTCAAATTGCTTAACAAAATGTTACTTATAACAAAAACTTATGATACATAATGATTCATAATTTTCAACTCTCGCCATTTTACCTGCCTTAATAGATTAGACAAATAAAATGGGTGGGTATATAAATAAATAGATAAATAGACAGGTAGATAGGTGGATAGATAGATAGGTAGATGAATAGATAAACAAAGATATAAGAGCATTTTAAAAAAGCAATTAAATTTCTCCTTGAGAAAAAGTTTAACGCTTATTAGAAAAATATAAAATGCAATTTTCTTTAAAAAAAAAAGGTGTGAAAAGCTCGATTTTGTGAAGAATAAAAAAAGTGATGAGAAAAACTGAAGGACAATTTTTGTTTGACATGATAAATTGATGTAATAGGAGAAAGCAATATGCAAAGGATGGCATAAGGATAATGGAAAGCTTTAATTCGAAAAATGTACTCTAAAGATTAAAAAGAAAACAAGCCAGGGATGCTAATAAGTAAGTAATTGAGTAACGGAAAAGATGACTAAATAAGCAATGCAAGCAATTCAAAATATTAGACTGATCTGATTGAAACAAAAATGCATAAATAAGACCTTTTAGAATAGACAAGAAAAACTTGAAAAAGAAGTAAAAGGGATGAAAATTTAAATTATTTTGGATGAGAACGATCAATTTATTTGTTTGCTGCACTCAATTATTATAATCATATACTAAAAACAACTTTATTACTTTATTTTTACATTACTTTGTCCTAAATAGTCGAAAATTTTCATTTAAATATGTAATTACTTCTACAATAAATCACTTTTCTACCAAAATTTTAAGAATTTGTTGCATCCAAAATGGCAATATTAATTGAATTTTCATTACCTAACAAAATACCACACTAAATATTAACGATATCAATCAATTTTATTAAATATAACTAAATCATTAGGTTAAAAAAATTACTGATTAAATTATAAATTATGAATTTTGGCTTTTTTCAGTGATTCTGCAGTACTAGTCAAATTAAGCCTGATATAAGCGTTGAAAATTAATTTTGTTGGAACTAATGACTTAGTGACACGTTGGTAACCTTTAACCAAGAAGCAATAGAAGGATAATTTGCCGTAAATGTAGAGATGATAATCGACGACTGATGGGCAAAATAGGATAAATTCTTTTCATCAAAATAATGGAAAAAAGGTACTCTGAGGAAAGCTTTCGATAAATCCTGAGAGTTTACAATGTTTGCGAATCTATAAAAGATATCAATCAATACATTAATACGCATTTTGTTGCTATAAAAAAATTTGACATTCTTGTAAACTGAATACATTCATACTTGAAATGTTTAATTTCAGTTTTCCCTGAATAACTTGACATATTTATGTGCTAGTAGTAAGTCAAAAATTTAATCGTGAAATTAATTATAGTACACGTGGAATTAATTACAGCTCCTTCCATTGACAAATTTTTACTTTACTGGTAAATTTCTTGACCAGAAGTTAAGTGTCCAACTTTTTAACAAATAATTCGAAGCAATATGTCTTACTGACCACTTAATCTAGCCATTTACTTAATTTTATTTTAACTAGTAAAATCACCGTTTTTTATGATTTATTATTTAGTGGACAAGTATTGTTGACTAGACATTTGTATTAACGTAAATATAAGGTAAGAAAACTGTAGTATAGATTACATCACTTTAAGTATTTTCTTTTAATAATTTAAAATTTTAATGCTTTTAAAATATTTGATTTTACATTATAAAGGAAGAAAAAAAGTGCTATATGCTAATGATGAAATTATGCATAGAAAGGTTCGTAGTCTTACTTTGCTTTTCATTGACAAGTAGTCCTAATCAACTGTCTATTTACTTTTCATTTTTAGTTTATCTCATATTCAAAGGATTCATAACGTTATAAACACTTACATTATAAAGGAAGGAAAAAATAAATGATGAAATTATGCATGGAAAGGTTTGTAGTCTCACTTTGCCTTCCATTAACAAATAGTCTTAAATTTTAAGAATTGATTTAGTACTTTTTAAGAATTGGTTTTAGATTTTAAAAATTTTAAGAATTGATTTTAGTCTAAATTTTAAGGATTGATTTATAATAGTATCTGAATGAAAAGGCAAAATTATATTTTTCCAAAATACTTTCTACAATTCAAAGATGTAAAATCATGAAAATTCCCACACGCATTAGTTCTAAATTATAATGATGTCATTTGATTCGCCCTCCAGCAGTTTCAAAAATGATTTCATACTTGACATCGTACATTGGGAAAAGATGAAAAAGCGACATGGGAAAAGGAAGAGTTTCTACTTTTTCATTCGTGCAACTTTTTTGCTTCGATGAACTTGAAAAGGCATGCGGTAATTATGATTAAGTGAAGAAAAAGACTGAAAGTAGCTGTGTCAAATTAACATATGACAATTAAGGAACAGTAAAGATTTCTACGCTTGTCTTGATATGAAATCAGCATATAGAACGAAGCTGATTATTAAGCAAGGGTGAATGAAATTTTGGAAAGGAATCCTAATTATTTTTGAATTAAAGCTAGGCTCCGACAAGGAAAAAATCATTTTCAAAGGCTAATAAGAAGTGCAAAGTAAATGTAATTTAAAAAAATGCTCCATAAGAAGTCAAATTGATAAGGCCAAACAACAAATTTGTCAAGAGTTTGATCTTTATTTACCTTTCAAACGAGAAACTTCAAATCATTTATGAGTTCCCTAACAAGTATTATTGAGCTATCGAAGTTTGCATACTTTTCAAATATACCCCAAAGTCTTCCAATTCGTTTCAAGTTGATTATATCGTCTTACCTTACTTTTATCATTCTTTCAAATAAATTTATCAGTACCAGTTATTTTCACTAAACCTACTATAGTAGTATGCAAAAACAATCATAATTCGCTCTTTTGCTTATTCGACAATTCCTAAACATTCCAAAGTATTTTTCCTATTTTATGAATTGATGGGAGACACATAAGATCCAAGATAATAAATTGGAAAAGTAATAAAACTAAGTGACAAAACACTTTGTCACTAAAAAAAAGAAATCACACAGAGCTAATCGTAGTTCCATCAGTTATAACACTTATTAGTTTTTCTTTTTTTTTTACAACCAGAAAAAATGTAATCTGAAAATTGTGAATAATTTATTCAGCAAACGTTGAATGGTGCACAAATTTGGCTGTTCAGCAAAAATGAATCTATCATTTTTTTGATTACATTTTTTTTTTGAATCTAAATTGCCAAAGAAAATTAAATTTCTGCAGTGCTTCTCTATACAAATAACAATAAATAATAATAATAATAATAATAATAATAATAATAATAATAATAATAATAATAATAAATGCCTAAATTACATTAAAGATTTTCGCTTATTTAAACGATTGTTTATTCGACGAAAATTTTTTTTATTTTTTTTAACCATTACTATTTGCATAGTTTTTCACATTCATTTTAATTTCACCATAAGAATTTTTCGTTGATAGTTTAGAAAGATTTTTGCAAATACTTTTGGTCGTTTGTTTTAAACCTATAAAATGTCAAGACTGCAGATTATTTTCATATAAACAAACGAAATTTGGAAACTATTTGAAAAAAGTGTATTTTTTGTGTTAAGAGTTATTTTTGAATTAATTCACAAATCAGGCAGGGATTATATTAAATAAATGGTACTAACCGAATCGGAATTATTTTATTTTCCGTGATATTACTAATTCATTTAACTTAACGAAATTTGAATATTTAAGTCAGTGTCATCTATAGTTAAAAATGTTAATATATTTAGCATCTACGAACAGCATGATGATCACCCAAAGTCAATTTTGACATCGATAACTGCGTTTCTCGACGTTGAAGATTGTCCCTGTTTTTGAATATTTAATACTTTGCGATATATGAGAGAATTTTTTGTGATTATCTTTGGTTAATTTATCACAACTCCAAAAATATTATACACGATAAGCTTGTATTGGATTTTTTTCACTCTCGTGAAACAGTAAACAAATAAGTCCATCATTTAAATAATCATTTATTTAATTTGGAAAAAAAAGATGAAATGTTGGCATTATCTACAGTGTTTGTTATCGAAATGCACGAAATTCAACATGCATATGACATGAAAATTTGCATGACAAAGACCGTAGTAATAACTCAAAGTATATTAGTAAAGTAAGTGAAAATAGGAAGTTATTTCAATAAAAATTATAAATGGTGAAACTAAAAAAAAAGTTTTTTTTAGTTTTTTTTTTTTACTACCTGTACCATTTATAAATTTTAATAATGCGCTGCAGATTAGGGAATATACTGTGGGCAATGGTCATTTGAACAGTCTCTCGTAAGTTCTGATGTGTCCACGTAAATTAGACGGTCTTCAAGTGGTAGCATACGCATCTGATAGCATCCTCCTTCTTTCCGTAGTTCTGGGTTCTTGTATATGCATTCGGTCCAGTTTGAGAAAGAACTAAGTTTTAGTGGACATCTGCAAACCTTTTCTGGTCATTCAAATTAGATCTATACTAATCACAAGTTATTTCTCACTTCACTCTTTATTTTTACTCAAAGACTCGTCCATAACTTGAGTTTAAAACATCTGAACCATAATTTATTTTTTGCGTAATTTGTGATATGCAAAGATAGCATTTATTCCATGTTACTTCGTATTGCTACTGTAATAACACAAAGTGATAATTTACAAACAACAATGGTCAAGTAATCGATTTTTGTGGTGCCTTCAAGTAGACCATAAAACTTAAGAGATTCTGCTTAACAGCTAATTACCCAGCAAGATAAAGTTCGAAATTTTGGGACTATTTCTTAGCGTGATGCCACATAACGATGAACGAGCAATTCCTTTAACGTGCGTGTTAAATACTGTGTAATCTGTATCAACAACTTACCGTTGTAAATTACAAGGTGCTTTCTGTATAAAATTTTTTTAATATTCGATGGACATTTTGCGAAACTTTTCCCGCGTGTCATCACTAATTTGCTCTCATCTATTTCACGTTTCATAAACGGCATTGGTTGACCGTCCTCCCAACAAGTTGCTGAACACTGAGACCACGGTTTAAAGCGGTAAAAGCATGGCATATCATGTTCAAGTAGCTGACCATGCTGAAATATTACACTGTCTTAGTATATAGTTTGTTGAGTCCATCCATGCTTTTTGGTACCTTTATTTGGACTAATACATAAATTAAATTCGGTCAATTTCTAGAATCCTCTTCTCAATTAGTAATTAAACTTTCATCTTGGACAAAAACCTTAATTTTGAGTGCTAACAGCCAAAAACAGCTGGTGACAATAAGCAAGACGACAAATAAATTAATTATTGTCAGGATAGAATTAATAACCGCAAGCACTCGTACTTGTCTATTTCGCACCAGTGGAGCAATTCGCTGAAAATTTTTGATTATTGAAATTAATCGAAAATGGCAGTAAAATTTATCCTACTTGTGAAAGATATTGCCAAAGTCGATGATTGTGTGAACAGTGCCTACAGTTTTCTAATTATCTTTAAAATATCACCACAACATTTGACCATACAGAAAACGGTTTCAGCATCAGAATAAGCTAATTAACAGTTGCGATACAACTTACATGATACCAGGATGAAAATGATGAAGAACCTTTTGTACTAGTTATGGAACCTTCGTATCCTTCCGATAGATCAGAAAGCTGAAAATAAATAAAGCACTAGTTGTAAGAATTAGCAGTAGTTGCATGAATAGCAGAGATGAATCATGTAAGTGAATATCTCGGGAAACTTTAAAGGTAAAAAATGTGGTAGATAAAACTGGGGCACCTCTTCCGTATCCGCGCCTGCAACGGTCGATGCAACAATTTTTTCCTCGACAACGGATGGTTCATTTTCAGCTTGTTGTATTGGAGTGGGATTCAGCTGCTCTGCTAATGTAGCCATTAGGGCCTAGCTTTGGCCTGGAAAAGGCAATACCTAGTTTTCCAAGCTAGTTAATTTGGTCATCGAAATCAAGAAAAGTGAATAGTGCGGGTGACATTACTACTTACTTACTACTTAAGGCAATAAAACATAATGTTAATAAAACATACTGTTATTCTAGTGCTATGTTTCATAAAAGTTTAAGGGATTCTAAAATATGATAAGAAAACCAGTGTGGAGGAAGAAAGGACGCCAAGTTTTTGTAATATAATGACCTGCTTCACAGTGCCGGGATATCTCGGAAGTCAAAGAATTTTTCGACGTTTATAGTGAAATCTTCATAGTTGGTGGTACTATTTATGCTCGTGAAATCAAGCAAACAGATCTCATTACAAGAATTCTCCAATCAATGAAGTAGGCGGGAGAAAGTGAAAAAATGATTAGTCAAATAATAAACTTCTAAAAAACTTCTCAACTTCTCTCGTGTCTAAAAGGCCTACAGAAAGGTCAAACAAATAGCTTCATCAACCGCTTAGTAACAATATTCTTTCAAGGAAGACAAGCTAGAAGGCAGATGATAGAAGTAAATCAAGTAAAGGGATATTTGCTGTATTACTATTTACGTTAAACGTGACTACGTTTTCTAGAAACGATAACGTCAAAAACGCTTATTGTCAGAATAGAATTGTGCCTGCAGTCACACCGGCCTGTACAGATGATAATTTCAAAAATATCAGTGCATTAGTTGTATGTGATTATTTGAAGGAAAAAATTTTCATACAATTTATCATTTATAAAACCATAATTTTATTTTTATTTGGAGAGCTCTAAAGATTTGGTGGTTTTTCCGGCACGCGAAGAAAGTGCAATCCGATGATATTGGTTGTTATAAATAGATAAACTAAATGCTTCAATTCGTAGATAATTAGTGATAACTTATCTGCTCAACATCATATTATTCAGAGAGGATTTCGTTTTGCATGAACTCAGTACCAAAAGTAAAACAATGCATCTCAAAATATTATTGAAGTCAAGAATATTCAAAAGAGATTGAATTCGAAGTGTTGATAATGTAATTTTTTCCTTGTTATCAAAATCTCAACGAAATATTGCCCTTTCATTTTGTTTAGATCGTTTTGATGTAGACGGCAATCACAAAAACGGAATGAAATGGAATGCAAGAAAAGGAATACACAGAAATGCAACGTCAGGAAGCAGCCAATTCTTGTCGCATTCATAATTGGATAAGCTCTATTCATGCAAACTTTCCACATCGCTCAATTCATACAGAAGCTAATTTCATGTCTTTTAAGTTTACTAAATGAGCTATATTCCTAAATGTAAATCCTTTTTTCTTGTCTTTCAAAACCTTTCAGGCAATATGTCTTGGATGATGAAAATCAAAACTTTCTGAATCGAACTCACACTGATACTACTTCAAACAAAGTCATCGAAGTGCACTATTAATAGTATCAGAGATGACGACAATCCTTATCAATTGAACAAAAATTGATAATAACAGTGACAAATGGCACCTTTTTTTTCCCCAAATGATAACAAACAACTGAAATACATCTCTCATATTTAGTATTTGCATTGTGTCACTTTCTTTTCTTATTTTAGTGTACTGCACTGTTTGCACCTATCACGTGACCACGTAAACTGCAAACGCATGTTTACTGGTGGAAATCGTGCTGCAACAGATGAGTTTAAAGAATGCTTAAAGTGTGGGTCTCAACACGAGAAGCTTGCTTTCGTGTATTATTGTTTGTTTTGGTATTTGCGTGTGTATGTGTGTGTGCGCAGTATCCTTTGTTTTCTCGCTCTTTCTCACTCAGGACGGGGAAGTGGGGGAGGAGGGGGCGGGGGTCGGAGGTCAGAGGTTGAGAAATGGACGCGGTGGGTGTTAGGGGATGGATGGAGTTATAACTGTTTTGCGAGTCGTTGGTTTCAGTCTTGTCAGCTGGCAGGAAGTACATCGCTTTGCGTTCCGCCGGTTTTTTTTGATGATCTCAGTTATTGAGTTCTAGTAAAGTATATGAAGTTTCTAGAAGTAAACATTCTCTTATTAATTACCCAAAGTTACTCTGTCATCGCTATTACGTTGTTTCTTCTATGATAACGTGACGTTTCTAATCTAACTAATTCGCTCAATGTAATTTTTCGTTTCCTTTTTAATTTCTACTTTAGTTTAGATTTTGCTTCAGTTTGGG